TTATTGTTATTATTTTATTGTTATTAGTGAGAACTGATGTAACATACAAGGAGATTAATTCCATTGTTCTTAACTTCTTAGCTGAACAAAAATACATTATGTAGCCTTTTCCTCAGAAAATAATGACTTTCTACATTTTAATAAGAATGAAATAAAACCCTGTCTTAAATAAGATGATCAGGGTAATAATAAGACCATCTTTGGAGGAAACTTAATAAGCACATTTTATCTAAATAAATCCTCTAGAAGGAAATGGAGAATTCATAGCTTTTACTCAGAGGATGGCTGTTTAAACAGTTATATGATGAATTTATGTGTGCAGCTTACCAACAACATCGCCTTATTGGAAACATCAGTATTTCCACATCATAGTTCCCAGAAGGATATGGAAGTCTCAAAATCTGGACTCTTCTTCAACTGCTTCTCTTAGTTTCTCCCTGGGTATTAATGATTCATTCATATTATCATTTATCTCTATCTTCATACATTTTCTTTAGAACATCTACTTATTCCTCACTCAAATCTGTTTTGGTATCATGGAAGGTATTTCTTTCTGTTTGCAGTCCTTTTCAACCTTACTCAAATAATTCCACAGTGTGTTCTCTGTTTTATTTCTATAGTAAAATAATGTATACACATCCTCACTTTTTACTTGATTCTTATATTGTTTCTATTATATATCCCTGGCTGCTATAGGACTCACTATGTAGACCAGGCTGGCCTGGAACTCACAGAGATCCACTCTCCTCCTGTCTCCTGAGTGCTGAGATTAAAGGCATATACCCCTGAACTCCACTTAAATATTTTGAGTTATCTTCCTTCCATTGAGAGGGTCTTTAAAATAGATTGTTTAGAAGAGTCTAACTCCTACATGCATGTGTACCATGTGAGAGCATGGTACCCATGGAACCTAGAGTTACAGATGATGGTGAACTGCCATGTCTGTGCTAGGAATCAAACTTGGGTTTCTGCAAGAGAAGCTGGTAAACTTGACCATTAGAGTACCTTTCTAGTTCCCATATTTAGATTCTTTAAGAGAAGTTCAGATAACTTCGCTGTGAAATATACCTCATTTTCTCTGTGAAATATACCTCGTTTTCCAGTGGGAATTTTATAAACTCTAGGTAATGTAATGAAAATCTTTCACAAATTTATCTAAAAGATTCCATCCATAATTATTGCCTCTCCCTCATGAGTGCTAGGATTAAATGTGTGCACCATGATGCCCAGACTTATATTGTACCTTTATTTCTGTCACATTCTGGTATTTTCATCTATTTTGATACTTCCAGTAAGGGCATCAGATACATTTCCTAGTAGAACTTTCCAGTATCTTTACCTCTTCCATAGTGATGGCACATGCTGACTCTCCCGCACATTGATAAATTTTTTGAGGAACTTCCATAGTGATTTCCATAGTGGTTATATCAGTTTATACTCCCAACTGTAGTATAGAAGGATGGCTTTTGCTCTATATCCTTGTCAACATTTATTATCTCCTGCCTTTTTCTGCTATTTTATAGTATAGCCATTGTGACAGAAGCGAGTGATATTTGCTTGAATTTCTCATTTGCATTTTCCTGATAATTATATGAACTATCTCAACATATGTCTGTTTGCCACATTAATCACAAGAAATATGTGCAGAAAAATGCAAATAGATCCATATCTATTGCCATGCACAAAACTCAAGTCCAAATGGATCAAAGACCTCAATATAAATCCATTCACACTGAACTTCATAGAAAAGAAAGTGGGAGGTACCCTTGAATGCATAGGCACAGGAGACCACTTCCTAAACAGAGCAACAGTAGCACAGACACTGAGAACAACAATTAATACATGTGACCTTCTGAAAGTGAGAAGGTTCTGTAAAGCAAAGAACACGGTCAACAAAACAAAATGACTCAGGACAGAATGGGAAAAGATCTTCACCAACCCCACATCTGACAGAAGGCTGACTTCCAAAATATACAAATAATTCAAGAAACTCTACATCAAACTACCAAATAATTCAATTAAAAATGTGGTACAGATCTAAACAGAATCTCAAATGGTGGAAAGACACTTAAGAAAATGCTCAACATCCTTAGGCATCAGAGAAATGCAAATCAAAACAAATCTGAGATACTACCTTCACCAGTCAGAATGGCTAAGATTAAAAGCACTGATGGCAACCTAAGCAGAAAAGGGTGTAGAGTAAGGGGAACACACATCCATTGCTGGTGGGAGTGCAAAATTGTACAGCCTCTGTGAAAATCAGTATGGTGAGCTCTTAGAAAATTATGGGTCAACCTATCTCAAGACCCTGAAATACCACTTTTGGGCATATACCTAAAGGAGGCACACTCACACTACAAACAAGGACATTTGCTCAACATTACTCATAATAGCCTAGATGCCCCTCAACCAAAGAATGGATAAAGAAAATGTAGTATGTTTATACAATGGATACTCAGTGTTAAGAAACAATGCTATTCTAAAATTTGCAGACAATTGGACAGAACTAGAAAAACAAATCCTGAGTGAGTTAACCCAGACTACAAATTACAAAAAAATCCTGAGTGAGTTAACCCAGACTACAAATATAGTATGTACTCACTCATGAGTGGATACCAGACATAAAGCAAAAGATACTCAGCCTACAATTCATAACCCCAGAGACATAGACATTTCTTTCAGAAATAGATGGAAACAGATGCAGTAATCCTCACAAACCATTGGGCTGAGTTCCTAAAGTACAATCGAAGTGAGGGAGGAACAATAATATGAACACAGCAGTCAAGACCATAATGGAGAAACCCACAGAATTAGCTGGCCTCAGCTAGTGAGAGATCACTGACTCAGGTCTGACAAATGGGGGATCTACATACAACCAAACTAGAATCCCTTAATATAGGTGACAATGGTGTGACTGGGACAATATATGAGGCAACTTTCAGTGGGTCCAAGATCTAACTCTAATGTAAACACTGACTTAGTGGAACCCACCCTATATGGAGAAATACCTTTTTCAGTCTAGACACAGGGGGGTGGGGGGACTTGGTCCTGCCTCAATGACATGATGGGACAGACTTAGTAGATGTGGTAGGAAAGGCCCTACCCTCTCTGAGGAGCAGATGGGAGGTGGGGTAATGGGGAAGTGGGGGGGATCACATGCACACACACATATAGAGAGAGAGTGGGTATTTTTGTACATTTTTGGTACTGCATTGTATAAGTTATTTATGTACTTAGTATACCAATCACTTAAAAGATACATATTCTACAAATACTTCCATGTAATACATAAACCAGCCCTTTTTAAAGTGTGTCTTCAGGTGGAACCCTTTTAGTCTAATGTTGTCCCACTTAATATTCTTCACTTTGGTTGCTGATGCCTTGGGGTAATAGCCAAAACTCATTTCCAAAAACAATACCAAGGAGATTTCCCCTTATGCTACATTATGAGAATGCTTACAGAAGAGGTCTTACCTTAGGTTCTTAACCTAATTTGAGTTCATGTTCGCATTCATATATCCCGTTATTGCAACACCATTTATTGAAAATACTATCTGGTCCTAGTGTGATTTATTCATAATTGTGCCAAAGATTAGTTGATCATATATGGTTGTCTTTATATATGGGCTCTCCTTCCTCTTCTATTTATCTACATGTACAAGACAGCCTTAATTACCTCAGCTATGGAATACTTTTTTAAATTATGATATATGATGCCTATGCTTTGTTCTTCTTGCTAACAATTATTTTGTCTGGGGCTAGAGAAATGGCTCAGCAGTTAAGAATACTAGTTGTTCTTCCAGAGGATGCAAGTTTGATTCCTAGTATTCATGAGATGGTTCAAACCTTCTATAAATCCAGTGTAATTCTAATTTAATTTTTAAATGAATTTTTCTCTTTCTTTGAAAAAGAATGTTTGATTTTTATAGAGATTTTTATATAGCCTTGAATATTATGGACTTTTCAACATCCTGGTCTGTGATCACACAATATCTTTCCACTTATTTGTCTTCTATTTTTATTCACACTTTACTGTTGTCATAGTACTGATTTCTCCCTTCCTTGGTTAAATTTATTCCTAAATATTTTACTTTTATGACTAGCTTTTCTGGTTTCAGACAAAAGAGAATCACCTAAGAATTTGAGAGGAGAAATAATTTTGACCCTTACTTACAAAGATCAGCAAAGCTCTGTGTTACAGGTAACACACAGTATTCTTTGATGTAAGATTTAGGTATCACTCATTTATAGTTAGGCCTAATCTATAGCTATTATAATAAAAATAATAAAAATTTTAACTTGAGCATACATAGAGCAGTACAAGGTTAATGTACAAAACTTGGAAAAGCCTGGTATCCTTGACCAATCAGATATGGGGTTTAGGGGATTGCATAATAACTCAGTAAAAAGAAGCACTAGTAATTATTATTGGTTCTTTCCAATTTCTTTTCTTGGAAAGAAAACATAAATCTTCTTGACTGATGGAAAATCCATGGATTTTCTAATCATACTTTGGAGGATCTGGAAGAAGGATGCCTAAAGTACTCTGGGAATTGGGTTGACTATACAGAATAGACTGCAAAACAGCCCAAAGAAATTATTTTTGATGGTAAATGAAGATTTTTCTAGTTCCAAGAGCAAATGAGGTTGGAAGACATATCACTAGTGTTAGTGTGGCATCTAGTACATGTTTGTACATACTTATAAGAACTTTATACACAAGTTCATTTAATCTTAATGAGTAAGCACTATAAGTATTACTACCTCCCTACTTTCAAAGCACAGAGAGGTCTTATGGCTTGCTAAAGGTTTTAGGCTTGGGAAGCTTTGTTGTTACCTTGGTTATCTGACTCCCAAGCCTATGGTACTAAGTAGTATGTATGTCATCTATGTATTAAACCAATAATTTAGCTGAATTAAATTAAAAAATAATCTGATAAACCATTTCCTGATAATCTACTTTGAAGTATTGCTTCAAGAATTCACCCCTCCGCTCGGGGCTGGTCCCCATCGCGCCCCCGGCCATGCCCCGGGGTACAGCCGCACCCCAGCCCCCGGCGCAGCCCGAGGAGCCGGCAGGGGCCAAGCCCCGGTGCCCCTTCTCGGACATTTTCAACACCAGCGAGAACTCGATGGAGAAGCACATCAACACTTTTCTGCAGAACGTGCATATTCTGCTAGAGGCAGCCAGCTACCTGGAGCAGATCCAGAAAGAAAACAAAAAGTGTGAACATGGCTACACCTCATCGTTCCCCTCCATGCCGAGCCCCCGGCTACAGCATTCTAAGCCCCCACGGAGGTTGAGCCGGACTCAGAAACTCAGCAGTGGGAGCAGCACCGCCAGCACTGCCAACAGATCCACACAAAATGAGTTGGAAAAGAACCGACGAGCTCACCTGCGCCTGTGTTTAGAATGCTTGAAAGTTCTGATCCCACTGGGCCCAGACTGCACCAGGCATACGATGCTTGGTTTGCTCAACAAAGCCAAAGCACACATCAAGAAACTTGAAGAAGCCAAAAGGAAGAGCCAGCACCAGCTTGAGAACTTGGAACGAGAACAGAGATTTTTAAAGCGGCGACTGGAGCAGCTGCAGGGTCCTCAGGAGATGGAGAGAATACGGATGGACAGCATTGGGTCTACTATCTCTTCAGACCGCTCAGATTCAGAGCGAGAGGAGATTGAAGTGGATGTTGAAAGCACAGAGTTCTCCCATGGAGAAGTGGACAATATAAGTACCACCAGCATCAGTGACATCGATGACCACAGCAGCCTGCAGCGTATTGGGAGTGACAAAGGTTACTCCAGTGCCAGTGTCAAACTTCCCTTCACTTCCTAGAGCCCAGCATGACCACAGTGCAGGGCGAGACACCTGCTGGACCAATTCAATGCCGTCTCTTCAGTTGGGTTGATGATGCAGTCTCCTTCAAAGCTAAACAAAACTACACTTGAACAGAAGGGTCAGAAGACCTGTATTTAAGCAAATACTAAACAAAGAGTGGGGCAGAGCCTCCCGTAGAACAAATACTCATACATTGGAAAGAATACAGTTCTCGCAGCAGCTGAAAACTTGTGTGGAATTATGTTGAGTTGACTTAGTTGACTTAAAGAGGACAATGGAGAGTCCGTTCTCCTTTTTTAGTTTGCTCACGCTATGTTGAGTAGACAGTTAAGGGTGGGGTTATGAACCCTTCCTGAGCTTCTTGGCCCTAGAAACAAAATCAGACTTAGAGTAAGGAAAATACAGGATAATCAGGCATTAATCTTGGATAGCTAAAGAGCTATTAAAACTCAGCCTCAGTTTATCATGAAGCCTGTGGATGATCAATTCTTTTAAAACGTGAATTTTTAAAAAGCTCATTTCGTGCTCTGCAGAAGGAGAGATTCCCATGAAGCCTTTCGAAAGAGGTCATCACGCAGCTCAGCTTTCTGTTGGATTCCATGCTAAGCCAGCTAACCTTGCCTGCATTGTTAGTGCTAGGGCACCCAACCGCCTGCTCACTGGCAGCCCTTCGGCAACATAGGGGCATCCCATGCATGACAGCCTGTATCACAGAAGGAAAAGCTCCACGTGCCTCTGTCTGCACAGATCTGAAGAGCTGTGCACGCAGTATAGCAGGCCAAGTTCTGAGCCACAGCAGCATTTTTATTTGAGATTTTGCTAACTGTTTATATGTGTTGAAAACCAAAATGACATCTTTTTAAAGCTTGTCCATAAGTAAACATAGATGTCTTTTATAGTGGAAAAAACGTGGGGAAAAATCATCTATTTTGATGCAGCATTTGATAATGATAAAACACCTGACACCTCACTCTTTATAGTGCACAGAATGAATGAGGAGGTCTGGGCTGGGGAGACAAAGGTCAATGCTGTTTTTGTTTTCTTTTAGGATCATTCCCTTTTACCAGCTTTTAACCATCTGATACCCAGAGTAGGCTTACTATCATAGTTAACATAGTTAAGTTCAGCACTTGTCTCTTTTAATGTAAAGATTTGCATTTTCTACAGGCAGTCTCCTTCCACAAACCCAGTGTGCAGCGCTGCTGTTGCTCTTACCAGTACTCGCAGAAATGGTGTTACCTTCTAAGTGAGATTTCTAGCCTGCACTTTGATGTCTGAGGTTTCCCTCTGGGCCTCTGCTTTGCCCGGGGAACCCTTTCTGGAGACTCCTCCCCCAACCCCCACCCCCACCCCCAGCTGTTTGGACTTTGTATTCTTTAAATAATTTAACTACCCTTAATTACTTTAAAAAAAGCTTTATGATTTTCATAACTTATTCCTGATTTTAATGGGTTGTTAATTTCAGTCCTGTAGTTTTATTTTATGTTTAGATAGGGCTGGGGAAGGAAAACAACCATATTTAGCAAAAAATAAAAACTAAAAAAAAAGAGAGAGAGAGAATTCATCCCTCCTCGCAGTATTTACGAAGGAAAATTATTAAAAAAATAAATATAAATAATAAAGCCAATAATGAAACATTAGATATAGTATCATATATTGAAACTAATATGAAAAAGAAAATATAAGCATCCTGTTTCTTACTTGTAGCATTTCTAGGATTGGGCTGGTAGCCAGTGCATGATAATTGTTATTTAAGTCTTTACCTATGTCTTTCTAAGATTCCACTCTTTAAACACATTCATCTTTTCATATATCCTACCTTGCTAGCTCAGTATCTTGATATTCTTGCTTAAAGTCTTCCAAAGTTCTTCATTAGTGATCTGAATGCACATTTCAAACACTGGTTGATTATTTCTATAAGTTAGGCTGATGGAAGATGTCATTCTCTGGCCAACAGGAAAGCAAGATAGGCAGGACTAGGAAACAAGGATGATTCAGGGAATAGTAGGGAGGAGAGTCAAGATGTACAGACTTGAGAAAGTATGGACTCTCTCTCCAGTAAGATAAGACCACATGGAATTACTTAGATTGATAGAAATGGGTTAATATTTAATACAGAGCTAGCCAGTAAGAAATGCTAGTAACAGGCCAACTGATGGGAGATGTCATTCTGTATGTTTCTCATACTGGTTAATAATAAAGCACTGTTGGCCAATAGGAAAGGGAGATAGGAGGGACTAGGAGACAAGGAGGAAATAGGAAGTGGAGAGGAGGAGTCAGGATGGAGAGCCTGGAGAGAACAGAACCGCCATTCCTCCACTCTCAGTAATACCACGTGTAAATACACAGAAATGGGTTAATAATTAAGGCAGAGCTAGCTGATAAGAAACAAGTAACCGGGCCAACAGGATTATATCAAATACAGAGTCTCTGTGCATTATTTGGGGCTGGCGTGGTGGCGGGACAAGACCAGCAGCTGCAGGCGGAAAAACCCTTACTCATTACCGGCCAACAGCTTTATATCTAATACAGAGTCTCTGTGTGTTGTTTGGGGCTGATGTGGCTATGGGACAATACTGGTGGGAAAACTGCTCTTAACAGAATGGTGCCTGCAACATGGGGCATGAGAACTTTCACTTAAAATTTAACAAAAGTTTAAAAAGGGGGTTTATAAACAAAAGAACAGAGAGAGACAAGCAAGGCTTCTTGGTAGCAGCATTTTTCTTGGTTGGACTCTGCTTTGCTAGAGACAAGCAGAGATTTGCCTGGCTCCTTTAAGGGAAATTTCCTGACTCAGCATAGTGGCAAAAAACCTCAAGGCTTTTAAGAAGCCCTGCTAACAACTTAATGGTATGTATGAGAGCTGGCAATGACCACATCTCCAAGCCTGTAGCATGCTGCTGGTTGCAGTGAAGACCAAGGCAGTGAGCATAGCTCTCAGTTTTGGCAGTAAACGTACCCCCAACATCTTTGATAGACCATAGCTATTACAGCTGTGGCTTTCATTTTAACAATGTTGTTTAACAGATAAAAGACTTGTGGCCAGAAAAAGATAAGGATTTACAGTAAACACAGATTCAGATTAAGAAAAACCTCTAAAGGTTTACAGTGTGAGAAACAGGATAAACTGGTTTAAAAAATTAAAAGAGAATAGTTGGGGCATTGGTGGCACATGCCTTTAATTCCAGCACTTGGGAGACAGAGGCAAGCAGATCTCTGTGATTTCAAATTGGACGTTGTATACCAAGTTAATTCCATGACAGATAAAAGTTACACAGAGAAACCCTGTCTCAATAAATGAAAAAATAGAAGTAAAAGAAAAAGAATAATAAAAAAGCCACGTAAAAATGGAAAATACACAGAGAATCTGGATACTTTATGCTATTGTGTTGTCCTTGTATTGTTTAAAAAATGCTGCTGAATTAATCTAATTTATATATTTTAAAAATGCTTTGACTTCCAAATTTAAGTCTAAGGACAGGCTACTGGAGAAAGAATTTATATTTCAGAAAATGAAAAGCTATAAATTCCTTCCAGATTAACATGGTTTGAACAAGCAAGAGCCCCTGAAGCAGTGTCCCAGTTGATTCAACGTTCAAAACAGCTTGGACAAGGCAGCCTTGCAGACCACTACAGACAGGATTTCTGGGGCTGTTTTAGGATCCCCAAGATAGCACCCCCTACCAGCAGGAAGCAGTTTGGAAAGAACAACACCCAAATTCCCAAATAGTGTTTATACATTTTTATATTCATTTATGTGGGGTTGGTTATAAATGGTTAATGACTACAACCAATTTCTTTAAGGGTAAAAGGGAGATTATGGTATAGGCATGAATACTTTGTTTTGGAATGGATTTTCATTTATTGATACAATTTAAGGTCAATTTTATGATATGTATATTTCTCCTCTTGTTTAGGTATTGTGTTTACATAGCTCATTTAAAAATTTAAGTACAGAGTTTAGTTACCTCTTATAGTCAAAACATAGCTATGTTAGTTAGGATTTCTAGATTTACAGAGATATATTTGAGATGGATAGGCATTCTTGAAACCTTTCAAAGACCTACAGAATATTGCATTTAAAATGGGTTAGGGTTTTTCTTAACAGTGAAGCACAACTTCCCCTGGCAACACCATCTGCTTCAGAAAGGAAGATGGACATTGAAGAAACTCTTTATGGAGTTTACTTCCAATATGGCAAGACTAGACATTTGGATAAGATACTGCTCTTGTCTGGGCTGTTTGACTTTATGCTGTAAAAACTGAACATGCATGACCCACAGGTAAGTGACTGCTGATACAAGATGGACATTGCTATAGCGTTCCTGCTTCATGGGAGAGTCTGCCAGGCAGTCTGCAGGACACAGAGAAAAGTGACTGACAAACTGCCCACGCAGGTGGACAGTTTAAAGTTTCCTGCTTTGCTGAAGAGTCTGCCAGAGACAATATGGCTTATAGGCTGATGATAAAACATTACAGAGTTGAAGACAGATAATTATGGTTATAGTTTTTCTTAGTTAGGACTAAAGATAAGTTACTTATAGGCCTTTAGACTCACAAAGATAGTATAAATGATGGAACATTTTCTTTAAATCTTGCTAAATGTTAATGGACTGAACATTGTTAGCTGTGGTTCTTATTTGATAACTGTTTTGTTATATATTTTGCTATGTTAAGGTTAAAAACCCTTCTTTTTATTTAGACAAAAAGAAGAGGTGATGGAAGATGTCATTCTGTAAATATGTTTCTCTTATTGGTTAATGAATAAAGACCTGTTGGCCAATAGGAAAGCAAGATAGGAAGGAGTAGGAGACAAGGACAATTCGGGGAATAGTCGGGAGGAAATTCAAGATGTAGGGACTTGAGAAGGTATGGATTCTCTCCCCAGTAAGACAAGAACACATGAAATTACTTAGATTGATAGAAATGGGTTAATATTTAAGGCAGAGCTAGCCAATAAGAAATGCTAGTAACAGGCAAACAGCTTTATATCTAACACAGAGTCTCTGTGTGTTATTTGGGGCTAATGTG